TGCGAGATACCAGGTGTAATTAACTGCTACAAGAAAGGACATCATGAGGACCAGAGCGGAAGAAAAAGAAACTTGACAGAGCAGGACCAACTGTTTAGAGACCTGTCTCTCAGAACACACCACAGGATCTCTGAATTGGTGAACACTCCACACGTCACCCACTCAGCTACTCCTATCCCCCCAGCAGTGTACTGTGCCTTAATACAAGACCACACAGACCTACATCCCTGCAGCTGCCTCAGTAACCCTACCCTCTCTCAAGGGCAGGCACCTTACTTGACCCTATAAACGCACACACCACCTCAAGCTGACCACATCATCCATGAGGAGCCAGCTATCACAATCCTGTTCGCCAACATTAGAGGTTTACATTACTAATGCTGAGAGCTCACACACAGTTATTGTGAACATACTCGACGCCCCGACAGATAGCTGTTTGTTGAAACATTTTGGATGACAGGACTCCAGAAAATTTTCAAAATTCTGGCTACACCTCATGGATGAGAAGAGACAGCAAGGGCAAGGAGGAGGTGTTGCTGTGTGCTTCTCAAAAGAGTTCAAGCCCAGCACATTGATGTTGGCCCAACCCCTACCATCTTGAAATGATGTTCTCAAGCTCTGCATAAACATCTAGTACCTCTGTCCTACATGTGCAATATGTACAGACCTCAGTGGCAACATGCAGATCCCATTCAACTACCTATGAAATATTGACTCCCTTCTGCTACAACACAACTGTCAACATATAAAAAAAAATTGTTGGTTGACCTCAACCAGCACCTTATACAGAGGGACTTTGTGATGTCCTTCTTGGCAGTGTTTGACATGAGAAACTTTGTCGATTTCCCTACTCACATCTCTGGGCTCCCTCCCTTGACCCAGTAGTGATGATCTGGCAGAAGGCTAGTCACTTTTCACCCCTCGCTATGTTGGATCGTCTGACCATGAGGCTGTTTTTGTAACTCACATAAGATTCCCAACAGAACGAGGTGAGGATGTCAACATGCACAACTGGCTATGGGAAAGAGGTATATTGGCCAGCCTTCACTCTGAGCTCACCCACCACGCGATTGGAATGCTCCATATCTCCAAGGGATGTTGACAACCAGTGAATGCCTTCACTGGACACATCCTTAATCTACAACAAGAACACATTCCTCACCTGCAATAATGTGCCGAAGCCTACGGATCAGCCTTGGTTTGGCTTTCGTTGTAGAGAGGCTGCTACTGCTAAGTAACAAAGCATGGCGAAGGTATAAGAGACATCCTACCACCTATAAAGGAACTTGCCACAGGCAAGCCTGTAGACATATGGGTGACGTTCAAAAGTGGGCCATTGCTAAATGGAGGTGGACACTAAAAGAAATCTAGCATCAGGTAGGGTAGCCTCCAAATCCAGGTGGTCCTGGTCCAAGACCGACAAGGTTACTGCCTGATGAGCTCAATTCCACCTCTAAATCACAGGGATGGACCCCCCTCTACGAGTAGTCAAAGAAGGAGGCGGACCTCTTTTTCTGAACACTTTGCTACCAAAATGCAAGTTCCTGATCCAAAGGACCCCCTTGGCTAGCTGCAAGAACTGTGTCAAAACTGTCATTGGTGACAATAAGGCAGAGGAGGTTCATTCCTTCTTAAAATCGCTTGATCCCAATTAAAAGGCCTGTGGGCCCAGACAAGTTGAGCAAAAGATTGCTGAAGCTATGAGTCAGACCTAGCTAGCAGCACCTCTAACTCGGCACTTTCAATCATCATTCAGCACTGCCTATACAGTGTAAATGGCCCTCTCTATGGAAAGAAAGCAAATGTAGTCCCCCTGTACAACAAAAAGAAGAGCAGAGCCAAATCAGCAACTACGACCAAGTGTCACTCCTGTCATTCACTGGTAAGATCCTTGAGACAATAATCTCAAGACAAATGACAGAGTTTTTTTTTGACTACCACTCATCTACTTGTGATCGTCAATGTGGCTTTCAGAAAGGTTAAATCTGCTGCTGATTCTGTTTGTTCAACCTCTCCACTAAGTGGCACCAGTCACTGGATGAATCCAAAGTCAGCTGTGTGGTAGCACTGGACATTGCTGGTGCTTTCACAACCGGGTGTGGCACCAGGGCCTCTTAGCAAAACTTCTTCAAGCACTGGAATTGCAGGCTCTACGCTAGTCTCCTCAGTGATTATACCTTCATGGTAGATCTCTAAGTGTAGTTCTCATGGACGGAATCAGCAAGACATCCTACTGGGGCAAGGTGTTCCACAAGGAAGCGTTACTGGGACCATTGTTATGGAATGTCTACTTAACGACCTTCTTCATCTCATCCCAGGAATCGCATGCAAATGCAACGACTGTGCATCTGACATTCACTTATCCAAGAAGGAAAAGCAGCTGCTCTAAGCTACCATCAATCACCAGCCTGAGAAGCTGATATCAGCTGGGGAAGAGAGAGGTGAAAGGATTTTAAACTAAAAGGAGGCAGTTAGGGTAAGATATAAACACTATTGGAGGATAGAAGGGCTAAAGAGAGCATAGGCAATGGGTCGAAGAGGTATGGGGTAGGTTGAAAAATTAGTGGTTAGAGTGTTCAGCAAAGTTTGTGGTTACAGAAAGTGGGTGCGGGAGGGAAAGAGGAGCGATTGGTGGGATGATGATGTGAAGAAGTATAAGGGAGAAAAAGTTAGCATATAGAAGTTTTTAAAAAGTAGAAGTGATGCAAGGAGGGAAGAGTATATAGAGAAAAAGAGAGGTTAAGAGAGTGGTGAAGCCAATGTAAAAAGAAGCAAATGAGAGAGTGGGTGAGATGTTATCAACAAATTTGTTGAAAATAAGAAACAAGTTTTGAGTGAGATTAACAAGTTAAGAAAGCCAAGAGAACAAATGGATTTTCAGTTAAAAATAGAAGAGGAGAGTTCTTTAAAATGGAGAGTTAGAGGTATTGGGAAGATGGAGGGAATATTTTGAGAACTGGTTAATGTTGATGAAGATAGGAAGCTGTGATTTCGTGTATAGGGCAAGGAGGAACAACATCTTGTAGGAGTGAAGAAGAGCCAGTTGTAGTGTGGGGGAAGTTCGAGGAGGCAAGTAGGTAAAATGAAAAGGGGGTAAGGCAGGGCCGGATTGATGGGATAAAGATAGAATGTTAAAAGCAGGTGGGATATAGTTTGAGTGGTTGGTGCAATATTTAATAAATGTATGGAAGTGGGGTAAGGGTACCTAGGATTGGCAGAGAGAGCATGCATATTCCTTTGTAATAAAAGGCAAAGGGGCTAAAAGAAAGGCAAAATTATAGGGGGATAAGTCTGTTGATATAAACCTGGCAAAGTGTATGGTAGAGTTATATTGAAAGAATTAAGAGTAAGACGGAGAATAGGAAAGCAGATGAACAAAGAGGCTTAACGAACGGTAGGGGGTGTGGTGGACCAGTGTTTACAGTGAAACATATAAGTGAACAGTATTTAGATAAGGCTAAAGCGGTCTTTTGTGGCATTATGGATTTGGAAAAGGCGTAATGACAGGGTGGATAGGGGGCAAGGTGGCAGATGTTGCAGGTGTTATAGGTGTAGGAGGTAGGTGACTGAAAGCAGTGGATAAAGAAAAAAAGTTTTTTTACGAGGATAGTGAGCTCAGTTAGAGTACATAGGAAAGAGGGAAATATTTCCCAGTTAAAAGTAGGCCCTTAGACAAAGATGTTGATGTCACCCCACGTGGTTGTTTAATATATTTATAATGGGGTTGTAAGAGAAGTAATGCGAGGGTCCTTGCAAGAGCCGAGGAGTTAAAAGATAAAGAATCACTCAAAGTGGGAGTGTCACAGTTGCTCTTTGCTGATGACACTGTGCTCTTGGGAGATTCTGAGGAGAATTTTGCAGAGATTGGTGGATGAATTTGGTAGGTGTGCAAAAGAAAAAAAATTGAAAGTGAATACAGGAAGAGTAAGGTTATGAGGATAACAAAAAGATAAGGTGATGAAAGATTGGATATCAGATTGGAGGGAGAGAGTATGGAGGAGGTGAATGTATTCAGATATTTGGGAGTGGACGTGTCAGCGGATGGGTCTATGAAAGATGAGGTGAATCATAGAATTGATGAGAGGAAAAGGGTGAGTGGTGCACTTAGGAGTCTGTGGAGACAAAGAACTTTGTCCTTGGAGGCAAAGAGGGGAATGTATGAGAGTATAGTTTTTACCAACTCTCTTATATGGGTGTGAAGCATGGGTGATGAAATGTTGCAGCGAGGAGAAGGCTGGAGCAATGGAGATGTCATGTCTGAGAGCAATGTGTGGTGTGAATATAATGCAGAGAATTCGTAGTTTGGAAGTTAGGAGGAGGTGCGGGATTACCAAAACTGTTGTCCAGAGGGCTGAGGAAGGGTTTGTTGAGGTGGTTCGGACATGTGGAAAGAATGGAGCGAAACAGAATAACTTCAGAGTGTATCAGTCTGTAGTGGAAGGAAGGCGGGGTAGGGTTGGCCTAGGAAAAGGTTGGAGGGAGGGGTAAAGGAGGTTGTGTGCGAGGGGCTTGGACTTCCCAGCAGGCAATGCGTGAGCGTGTTTGATAGGAGTGAATGGAGACAAATGGTTTTTAATACTTGACGTGCTGTTGGAGTGTGAGCAAAGTAACATTTATGAAGGGGTTCAGGGAAACCGGCAGGCCGGACTTGAGACCTGGAGATGGGAAGTACAGTGCCTGCACTCTGAAGGAGGGGTGTTAATGTTGCAGTTTAAAAACTGTAGTGTAAAGCACCCTTCTGGCAAGACAGTGATGGAGTGAATGATGGTGAAAGTTTTTCTTTTTCGGGCCACCCTGCCTTGGTGGGAATCGGCCAGTGTGATAAAAAAAAAAAAAAAAAAAAAAAAAAAAAAAAAAAAAAAAAAAAAAAAAACATAAAACCTTTAACTATCACCTGCTGCTACTCTCAAATATACTGAATGCACTTCTTGTTTCTTTCATAACAACAGACCCCAATAGGGATCAGTTTATTACTGTTTGTGAAATCTTTGTATACATACCTACTGGGGTGGACTGTGGCCTAAAGTTGCTAAGCAGAAGTTGAAGAATCACATGAATAACAGTGAAGGCTACGTTGAATATTCCTGTGTAAAGAAAGGTTTTTGGTCCACCCACTGTGAAGAACAATGAACCTCCTATAAACCCACCAGTAGCAACACCTGCAAAAAAAAGTCAGGAAAACTAAGAAACTTAGTACCATATCATTCATAAAAAAAACCATATAACATTTCAAAACTAAGTAAAGATATATCTAATTATTAGCACAGAAGTTTAATAAACAATGGCACAAATGAAGTCACAAACAAGCAATAAACAGAAGCTAAGACAAGAGTGTATATTCTGACCCCATAGCAAGACCTTATTCAACAAACAAAAAATGCATCCAAGGTGAAGCAAATATACAATCAAATCACATGTGACCTGGATGGTTTATGTGACCCACCATCATACGTATCAGTAAGCCTCATCTTTTTTATACTATTTGGTTTATTGCAAAGGGCCTCAGTGAGAGGCTGAAAAACAAGTACTACTCAGCTTCTGTTTTTTCTCCATGTTAGTTTATATGTACCATGATAAATAACATTAAGAGTATAACACCAAATGTAGAGCAGAGACCAAACTTTATTCTACATTTTCAACAACAACATAGTAGTGCCACAAGAGATTTATATTGAGCCAGCCAGTAGTGTATTGGAGGTATACAATTAAAGCACCAGCCAGCAGTGTATTGCTGGGGTATAACTAAAGCACCAGCCAGCAGTGTATTGCTGGGGTATAACTAAAGCACCAGCCAGCAGTGTATTAGTGGTTTATAGTTATATCACCTCCAGTCACCAGGGTACTGGTGATGCTGTATATAACTATAGTACCAGCCAGATGTGTACTGGTGAGATATAACTAGGGACAGGGCTTCACCAAATTTTTTGCTATCAATACTCAATTTTAGGCCGATCCCATCAATACTGATACTCTGGCAGACCACTATATAACTACAGTACTAGTGGCATACTGATGGCATATAGCAACACACTCAGCTAAACTAAATCTTTTAGAAATGAATAAGCAATACACAGTATACAATATACACTGTGTATTCCTTACTCTATCCTTGCCTCTTTTTCTCTAACAAAATGTTCACAGTAAGAGTGGTAGTGCAATGCTAACACATGTCAGAGACATAATGATACTGTCACTGAATAATTCAGCCAAATAATTATTAATATTACAAATCTCTTCATAATTCTGAAGGTCTTTTTCTGACCTTAGATGATGACACTGAGAGTTCTGTATTTAGATTCAGTAAATGCTTTAAAGTGTTTTGCTCTAAAATTTCTCTTCTATATGTTATTCTAAATATATTTTCAGAATACAAAAATAAAAGTCAATAAGAAATAAGATTTGTTCTCATACCACAAGCAAAGTAAAAATTTACAAAATCTTCAATCATCAGTTTCAAATTAAAAATTTTAATATTTTTGCCTCTAATCATAAGAACATCCAAAAATGGGAATCTTACATCTATATAAACTGAATACTACTTTCAATAACTTTCAGATTATGTCTTATTAAGTTCAAATAGAACCTTGAAAATCTATTACTAGTACTAAAAATTCTGTACCTCCAGGTATCATAGGCTGTAATTTCTAGAGTACAAAGCACTAAAGGGTACACAACTGTCATCCCTCTTATGCATTTGGTGCTTATCTCCCATGCTGTCCACACTTTACTATAGAACTAAAAAAACAATAAAGCCTTACCAATGCCTTCAAATGCTGCACCTACAATACCCTGCATTGTTGCTTCTGTCCCACTCGGTGCAACATGACTGGCATATGATGTCATGGTGGCATAAAATATTCCAAACGTAAATCCATTGAGAAGTTCTATTGGCAGAAACACCCAGGGGTTTGTGACTGTGTAGTAAAGAATGTAACGGATGCCAAAAACTCCAATGACGAGGGACATGGCATGGACGTGCCCCAACTTCTTGATAAACCAGCCAGACAGGAAGAAAAAGGGCAACTCTCCTCCAAAGCACTGGACACCCATTATAAGTCCCTGTAGTAACTTCAGAGCCCCAAAGTGGCAGTCCCAACCAAATGCTATATCCTCAACCAACATGAGCTGCCAAAGAAAAGCCAATGTTATTTATTTACACAAACTTCCATTCTATTGTTTCCCACCTAATCAAGGTGACCCAAAGATGAAAACTTTTACAATAACTTACTATCCAGGTGCCTATCCAGATGGGTACAGACTTTGTGATCCAATGCTGACCTATGAATTGCAATACCTGTATCGTACATGTATTTGCTTTACTTTCAGAGTGCAAATACCAAATCCCTTTATAGATTAACTCTCCAAGCTAAACACAGGCTGGTCCAACATGTTAACATGTGCTGAAAGCCAAAGTTTACGCAATTCTCTGGGCAGTTACTGAGAGGGGCTTTCTGTATTAGTGGCTTACAAAAAAGTTAGACAGTGGAAGTTTTCCGGTGAAAAGGGAGAACTCCTTGGGACCAAGTTAGACTGAAAAAAAAAAAAAGAATACAAGACTTCAAATGCCACTGGATGTAAGCAGGGCCAGATTAAGGTATGGGCTTTAGAGGCTGCAGCCCAGAGTCCTCGGCTAGCTGGAGGGCCTCCAGAGATTAAGTGAAAAGTGTTCACAGGTACATCTTGGTGGGCTGTATCCCACCAAGACAGGGTGATTTATAATTTTTTTTTTTCAACAAGTCGACCATCTCCCACTGAGGCAGGGTGACCCAAAAACAAAGAAAATACCCAAAAAGAAAATACTTTTATCACCATTCAACACTTTCACCTCATTCATATATAATCACTGTTTTTGCAGAGGCACCCAGATACAACAGATCTCTCCAAACTGCCAATATCCCAAACCCCTCCTTTAAAATGCAGGAATTGTATTTCCAAAATTCCAGTACTCAAGTCTGGCTATATAAAAATAACTGGTTTCCCTGAATCCCTTCACTAAATATTACCCTGCTCACACTCCAACAGCTCATCAGGTCCCAAAACCCATTCGTCTCCATTCACTCCTATCTAACACGCTCACTCACAATTACTGGAAGTCTAAGCCCCTCACCCACAAAACCTCCTGTCTGTGGTAAGGTTGGAGGGTGTGAAGGAGGACCTCTCTCAGTGGTAGAAGTTGAGCATTCAGCAGGCATGTGTGAGTATTAAACTGGAATAGTAATGTGTTAAAGATATTCAGGGAAACTGGTCAATTAAACTCAAGTTTTCTTAGATAGGAATTATAATGCTTTCAGGTCAGGTTGAGCTGTTGAAGCTAAGCAGGACATTGGATTGTGATATCTGTACACTTCTGGTAAGATAAACAAGGTGTGAGTAATGGTTAGTGCATACTGGTATTTTCTATGGATCACCCTGCCAAGATAGTAAGTGGGTAAGTAAAAAAAAAAAAAAAAAAAAAAAAAAAAAAAAAAAAAAAAAAAAAAAAAAAAAAAAATCCATTTCTTAAAGTGTCGAGTAAGAGCCTATTTTTTTTTTCCAACAAGTCGGCCGTCTCCCACCGAGGCAGGGTGACCCAAAAAAGAAAGAAAATCCACAAAAAGAAAATACTTTCATCATCATTCAAAACTTTCACCACATTCACACATTATCACTGTTTTTGCAGAGGTACTCAGAATACAACAGTTTAGAAGCATATACATATAAAGATACACAACATATCCCTCCAAACAGCCAATATCCCAAACCCCTCCTTTAAAGTGCAGGCATTGTACTTCCCATTTCCAGGACTCAAGTCCGACTATATGAAAATAACCGGTTTCCCTGAATCCCTTCACTAAATATTACCCTGCTCACACTCCAACAGATCGTCAGGTCCCAAGTACCATTCGTCTCCATTCACTCCTATCTAACAGGCTCACGCACGCTTGCTGGAAGTCCAAGCCCCTTGCCCACAAAACCTCCTTTACCCCCTCTCTCCAACCCTTTCGAGGACGACCCCTACCTCGCCTTCCTTCCCCTATAGATTTATATGTTTTCCATGTCATTCTACTTTGATCCATTCTCTCTAAATGACCAAACCACCTCAACAACCCCTCTTCTGCCCTCTGACTAATGCTTTTATTAACTCCACACCTTCTCCTAATTTCCACACTCCGAATTTTCTGCATAATATTTACACCACACATTGCCCTTAGACAGGACATCTCCACTGCCTCCAACCGTCTCCTCGCTGCTGCATTTACCACCCAAGCTTCACACCCATATAAGAGTGTTGGTACTACTATACTTTCATACATTCCCTTCTTTGCCTCCATAGATAACGTTTTTTGACTCCACATATACCTCAATGCACCACTCACCTTTTTTTCCCTCATCAATTCTATGATTAACCTCATCATTCATAAATCCATCCGCCGACACGTCAACTCCCAAGTATCTGAAAACATTCACTTCTTGCATACTCCTCCTCCCCAATTTGATATCCAATTTTTCTTTATCTAAATCATTTGATACTCTCATCACCTTACTCTTTTCTATGTTCACTTTCAACTTTCTACCTTTACACACATTCCCAAACTCATCCACTAACCTTTGCAATTTTTCTTTAGAATCTCCTATAAGCACAGTATCATCAGCAAAAAGTAACTGTGTTAATTCCCATTTTGAATTTGATTCCCCATAATTTAATCCCACCCCTCTCCCGAACACCCTAGCATTTACTTCTTTTACAACCCCATCTATAAATACAGTGGACCCCCGGTTAACGATATTTTTTCACTCCAGAAGTATGTTCAGGTGCCAGTACTGACCGAATTTGTTCCCATAAGAAATATTGTGAAGTAGATTAGTCCATTTCAGACCCCCAAACATACACATACAAACGCACTTACATAAATACACTTACATAATTGGTCGCATTCGGAGGTAATCGTTATGCGGGGGTCCACTGTATATTAAACAACCATGGTGACATTACACATCCCTGTCTAAGACCTACTTTTACCGGGAAGTATTCTCCCTCTCTTCTACACACCCTAACCTGAGCCTCACTATCCTCATAAAAACTCTTAACAGCATTTAGTAACTTACCACCTATTCCATATACTTGCAACATCTGCCACATTGCTCCTCTATCCACTCTATCACATGCCTTTTCTAAATCCATAAATGCAATAAAAACTTCCCTACCTTTATCTAAATACTGTTCACATATATGCTTCAATGTAAACACTTGATCTACACATCCCTTACCCACTCTGAAGCCTCCCTGCTCATCCGCAATCCTACATTCTGTCTTACCTCTAATTCTTTCAATTATAACCCTACCGTACACTTTTCCTGGTATACTCAATAAACTTATTCCTCTATAATTTTTACAATCCCTTTTGTCCCCTTTCCCTTTATATAAAGGGACTATACATGCTCTCCGCTAATCCCTAGGTACCTTCCCCTCTTTCATACATTTATTAAACAAAAGTACCAACCACTCCAACACTATATCCCCCCTGCTTTTAACATTTCTGTCATGATCCCATCAGTTCCAGCTGCTTTACCCCCTTTCATTCTACGTAATGCCTCGCGTACCTCCCCCACACTTACATTCTGCTCTTTTTCACTCCTAAAAGATGGTATACCTCCCTGACCAGTGCATGAAATTACCGCCTCCCTTTCTTCCTCAACATTTAAAAGTTCCTCAAAATATTCTCGCCATCTACCTAATACCTCCCTCTCCCCATCAACTAACTCCCCTACTCTGTTTTTAACTGACAAATCCATACTTTCCCTAGGCTTTCTTAACTTGTTTAACTCACTCCAAAATTTTTTCTTATTTTCTTATTTTCACTATAATTATATAGCTTAAATATTTTCTATATAAAACATTAGTAATTACTGTACAGTAACAAGAACTGCTAAATAGTTGTCAATAACCTACCTTCAAACATTAAGCTACATTCCCATTACAAATGTAAAATATAAAACTATACATTACTGTATACCTATAGTTACAAGTAATAAACTGCCTTAAGTACCTGGAATGTCCAAAGAATGCCAGTTGATATGCCAACAACAACACAACAAAGAATGAAGAGAACAATGCGAGGTTCACAGATGAGACGAGCCACAGATCCTGCAGTTCCTGTTCTCCTCTCACTACCCTCTATCTGTGAAAAATAATTAGTGATAATGAGAGTATTATAATGTTACTTATAAAAATCTTAACTCTAAACACAAAAAGTACCAGAAAACCTCTTTGTGCCTCAAATTCCACCTTCTGATAAATAAAATAAAATATAATTGTAAATGTCTATGAAATGATGCCAAAACCAGACAAACTATGGATTGCTTTTTTTCAGTGCCCAGTGTAACAAGGCAAATTGTTCCTTCTTCACCCTATATGTAGGTGATGAGAGTAAAAAAATTTAGGTAATGAAAGATTAAATATCAGATTGGAAGGATGGAGTATGGAGCAAGTCAATATGTTCAGATATTTGGGAGTGAACCTGTCGGCAAAAGAGTCTGAGAAATTAGGTGAACCACAGAACTGACAAAGATTAAAAAAAAAAAAAAGGGGGGGGGGGGGGGTTCATTGAGGCATCTGTGGAGACAAAATGGGGAATAGCCAAAATATAGGGGTATCAACGCTTAAGTGTAAAACGTGGGTTTTAAACACTGTAGTGAGGAAAATACTGAAGGCCATGGAGTTGTTTCTGAGGGCAAAATGTGGTGAAAATTATGCAGAGAATTCGTAGTTTGGAAATTAGAAGGTGTAGGGTTATTAAAAGTATTATCCAGGGGGCTGAAAAGGGGTTACTGAGGTTTGAACATTTAGAGAGGATAGGGCTAAACAGGATGGATGACTTGGAAGGTGCATAAATATGTAGTGGAGGAAAGCAGGGGGTAGGGGTCATCCTAGGAAAGGTTGGAGGAAGGAGGTAAAGGTTTTGTGTATGAGGAGCTTGGCCATCCAACAGGAGTGTGCAAGCATATTAAATAGGAAAGAGTGGAGGCAAGTGGTTTTTATGACTTGACGTGCTGTTGCAGTGTGAACAAGGTAAAATTTATGAAGGGATTCAAGGAAACTGGTTAGCCGAACATGAGTCCCTGAAGTGGGAAGTACAGTGTCTTCATTCTGAAGGAGAGGTGGGGATACTGCAATTTGGAGGGGCATCTGAGCTGTAATGTCAGAATGTGCCTGACAAGACAGTGATACAGTGAGTGTTGGTGAAGGTGTTTATTCTTTTCCAGGTCACCCTGTCTTACTGGGAGAGGCTACTGTATTAAAAAAGAAAAAGACCAGTCTTCTTTCTTTCAACACACCGGCCGTATCCCACCAAGGCAGGGTGGCCCAAAAAGAAAAACTAAAGTTTCTCTTTTAAATTTAGTAATTTATATGGGAGAAGGGGTTACTAGCCCCTTGCTCCTGGCATTTTAGTCGCCTCTTACAACATGCATGGCTTACGGAGGAAGAATTCTGTTCTACTTCCCCATGGAGATAAGAGGAAATAAACAAGAACAAGAACTAGAAAGAAAATAGAAGAATGCCCAGAGGGGTGTGTATATACGTATATGTTTGTACATGTATGTGTAGTGTGACCTAAGTGCAAGTAGAAGTATGTAAAGTAAAAGGACACAAGTGCAACTAATGTGACATTTATTGTGGCAACGTTTCGCTCTCCAGGAGCTTTATCAAGCTTGATAAAGCTCCTGGAGAGCGAAACGTTGCCACAATAAATGTCACATTAGTTGCACTTGTGTCCTTTTACTTTACATATTGTCGGTAATTCTACCAACTTTATTACAAGTAGAAGTAGCAAGGCATACCTGAAATCTAGCATGTTTATGAGACAGACAAAAGACACCAGCAATCCTACCATCATGTAAAACAATTACAGGTTTTTACTTGGCAGGGCGGTAGTACCTCCCTGGGTGGTTGCTGTTTACCAACCTACTACCTAGGAAAAAGACAAGCATGGGTCTTATATATATACTAACAGACACTGTAGTGGGGCATGGACATTAATGTGTATAGGGAATGTGTACAGCATATTTTTTAACACTTTTTTTTTCAACAACCCAGCTGTATCCCACCAAGGCACGGTGACTTAAAAAGAAAAACAAAAGTTTTTCTTTTTAAATTTAGTAATGTATACAGGAGAAGGGGTTACTAGCCTCTTGGCTTGGCAGTTTAGTCGCCTCTTACAACACACATGGCTTATGGAGGTAGAATTCTGTTTTACATATATTATGATTCATGTATAGTAGTTCCAACATGACCCGTTTGTAAATGCAGATGCATTGCATTAAATGCAGATGCATTACACAACCTACCTTTTCCCTTTACCTATTTACCTATTCTATGATGATGATCATTTAAAAATAAAGTCTAGAATTCACCGTGCATTTAATGCAGCCAAAGAGCAAAATACTGTATTACAAGCAAGTTCATCTTTCTACAAAGTCTGCTTACCTCCAGGCGAGTGGCTGCTAAAACATCGACGAAGAGGATGGCAAAGCTCAGAACAAATGCTGGGGTGTAGTCCTTCTCAGGTAAGCCCAGAGATGAATAGTCAATTAAAGCACCAGCAACAATGACCAATGCTCCCCAGCCCAAGGAGCCAAACAGACGCTGCTCCCCGTATCTGTTTCCCTCACTTCCTAAAGCAAAGGATAAAATAATCAAACCATTTTTATATTGGGTATTGAAATTTGAGAGTTGCAAGTTCATCTACAAACTAGGCACTAGTCATGGTTTTGTAAAAGTGGTGAAAAAAATTAATTCTGAACAATTATATTGGTAAAAATGGTTGAGCAACTACCAATGCTTACTGTTAAGGATACATAAACTTTAATGCTAAAATTAATTCCACAAAATTTGGCAATTCCTTTATTTTTAACATTTTATCCCAATTCAACTTTTATTATTACTTTCTCTCCTAGATGCCCTGGAATAAAATGATGTACAATAAACTTTGTATTTAACCAATATTGATTATCATACTTTGGAAATACTGTACAAGATATAATTTGCTGGGTCAACCGATTTGGAAACAACATAAAGTCTGTTGGTTACAGAAATGTCCACGATTGTTATGATCATGGCAAAACAAGTCTCGTCTCTATCCACTACAATCACCATTACTGCCAACCACTTTTCCTTATTAGTTTGTGGAATCAAGGGGTTTACTGTATTATTCCTATGAAATCAATCCCACAGGATTTCAAAATCAAATTTCTTTGCCTTTCACAAGAGAGATTATTAATTTACAAACTCAAGGTTACATACATTTCCTCTTACAATTAAAGTTTACAACTACTTAGTAATAGTATTAAAGAGCAAAACATAACCAACTTTTGTATTACTGTTTTCTATACAGCAACATTATGTTGAGAAAATAGGAACACAACTTGATTGTAAGTTGAGGGTATTCTGTATCTTAGTCTACATTATCATCTCAGCTCCTCGCATGATATTTTAGAAAAGTTAATGCATCTTCTCCTTTCTTCCATTATTACTCTAGTTACTCTTACCATGTGTATACATGCACAGCCACATATCCACACCATACTCATACAGACCCCCACACACTCACCCATCAGCCCCTACATCCACTCACACCCACACCCACAAACTTATCAGAAATTCAGTCATTCAACTGGTCCTGTAGCTAGAAATAGAAGACACCACTGGCTTAGCCCTTCTCAATTTTTTTTTTCAACAAGTCGGCCATCTCCCACCGAGGCAGGGTGACCCAAAAAAGAAAGAAAATCCCCAAAAAGAAAATACTTTCATCATCATTCAACACTTTAGTTTAGAAGCATATATGTATAAAGATACACAACATATCCCTCCAAACTGCCAATATCCCAAACCCCTCCTTTAAAGTGCAGGCATTGTACTTCCCATTTCCAGGACTCAAGTCCGACTATATGAAAATAACCGGTTTCCCTGAATCCCTTCACTAAATATTACCCTGCTCACACTCCAACAGATCGTCAGGTCCCAAGTACCATTTGTCTCCATTCACTCCTATCCAACACGCTCATGCACGCTTGCTGGAAGTCCAAGCCCCTCGCCCACAAAACCTCCTTTACCCCCTCTCTCCAACCCTTTCGAGGACGACCCCTACCCCGCCTTCCTTCCCCTACAGATTTATATGCCTTCCATGTCATTCTACTTTGATCCATTCTCAATTAGCTACAAATAAAGATGAGATGCCACTGCCAAATTAGCTCTGCTCTTGTAGCTACAGAGGATAAGTCACCACCACCTTAGCTCTGCTCCCATTGCTACAAAGAGGAAAAGCCACCACCAGCTCAGCTCTGCTTCTGTAGTGACAAATATCTCTTCTCCTGTAGCTATAAACAGATAATCAGGGGAATAAAGAAGAATGCCATTATGACAATGATATATTGACCAAAGTGAGGCTCCAGCAAAAATTCTAGTGACAAAAAAAAAAAAAAAAATCTCAGACGAATTAAGCATTCACCTTAATATGAACAGGAAACTGATCACAAACACACAACCAGAACTGTTCATGTAGCCTGGTGATCCATTCACTTGTGTGAGGTTGGTGATCCATTCACTTGTGTGAGGTTGGTGATCCATTCACCTGTGTGAGATTGGTGATCCATTCACTTGTGTGAGGTTGGTGATCCATTTATTTGTGCGAGGTTGGTGATCCATTCACTTGTGTGAGGTTGGTGATTCATTCACTTGTGTGAGGCTGGTGATCCATTCACTTATGTGAGGTGGGTGATCAATGCACTTGTGAAAGATTGGTGATCTTGCCCCTCTTAATTATTTAAATTAAGCTAAGGTTCCCTAACCCAATAATTTATAGAGAATTGATAAACCTAACCATACTGAAACAAAACGGATAAATACAATTGATAACCCTAAGTATTACATGCTGAAAATAAACTAACTTTTGTTAGTGAGAGCATTGTCCTCGTGCTGTGGAGGACTGCTAACAGTTTCAAGAAAGCATGGAGAGGCTGCAAGAATAATGCAACAAATAGTTGCTTCATCTATACTTGATAAATGCCAGATGATGAGGATGGGAACAGACAACAGACTCCAGTAGTACCATATCAGAGGATGTAGGTAACAGTTCTTAGCTTACCAATAAAGTCAGAAATCCTTAACCTGTAAATAGCTTGTCAATAAAGCTAGGGATCCTTAACCTTGTCAAACCCTGTGTAAAAAAAAAAAAAAAAAAAAAAAAAAAAAAAAAAACAGAGACAGAGAGACAGACAAAGAGACAGCGAGAGAGAGAGACAGAGAGAGAGAGAGAGAGAGAGACAGAGACAGAGACAGAGAGACTGAATGAATCCAAGTCAGTTGTGTGGTAACACTGGACATTGTTGGTGCTTTCGACCGGGTGTGGCACCAGGGCCTCTTAGCAAAACTGCACGCTCTGGGAATTGCAGGCTCTACGCTATATCTCCTCAATGACTACCTTCATGGTAGATCTCTAAGAGTAGTTCTCAATGGAATGGAGTCAGCAAGACATCCTACTGGGGCAAGTGTTCCACAAGGAAGTGTGCTGGGACCATTGTTATGGAATGTCTAGTTCAACGACCTTCATCTCATCCCAGAATCCCATGCATATGCAGACAACTGTACACTGACATTCATTTATCCAAGAGAAGAAATGCCAGCTGCTATAAGCTACATCAGTCACCAGCTAAGAGCTATAACAGCTTGGGGAAATAGATGGCAAGTAATGTTTGCACCTGAGAAAACATAAATGATGATCTCTAGGCACCATGATGGTAATGCCGGTGCAGTAGTAAGGATGAATGGGAGGGTGTTGGCACCTGGGGAAGATGTTGATATCCTTGTGGTGAAATCTGACTCCAAACTGACCATGAAAAAACACGTTGTAAATCTTGCAAACAAGGCAGCCAGGAAGCTTACAGCACTTCGCCGTATCTCGCATCTGCTTGACAGTAGGGCTTGCAAGATTCTGTACAAGGCACAAGTACGCTCACACCTTGTGTATGCTCCACTTTCTTGGTTTGCCTGCCCCCCCCCCTCTCATCTGCGACTGCTTGACAGAGTAGAGAACAGAGCAAGACATCTCATCTCTCGCCTGGACCCATCCTGGATAGACCTGTCATTTCAGCAGAGCGTTCAACACAGGAGGGATGTGGGTGGCCTTACTGTTATGTACAAGGCCAATATTGTCAAAGTACCACACTTGGATCCACTTCGAGAACAGCGAGAAACAAGCTTTTATGCCACAAAACGGGCAGAAAGCAGCAACTTCACTCTGGCTGTACCCTTCTCCAGAACATCACTCCATCTGAGATCATATATACCCAGGATGACTCGAGTATGGAACACATTCGTACAGCATAATGATGTTAATGAGATAAAGTCAGTTGATCAAATGAAAATGCTGGCCCACAGATGGCTCCAACTTCATCCTGTTCCATACTTGTATGTCTCAAAACAATAAAAATGCTTTCAAATGAGCTGATGTAGGTAACAGCTCTTAGCTTGCCAATAAAGTTAGGAATCCTTAACCTGTAAATAGCTTGTCAATAAAGCTAGGGATCCTTAACCTAATCTTGTCAAACCCTGTGTAAAAAAAAAAAAAAGGGACAGAGAGAGAGAGAAAGAGAGAGAGAGAGACAGAGAGAGACAGAGAGAGAGAGAGAGACAGAGAGATAGAGAGACAGACAGAGACAGAGAGACACAGAGAGCTAAGGGTGGTCTTAAACCTATCTCTTGATGCTTACACATGGTGTGTCAAAGACGAATGCATAAATAGCCTTGAAGGATGTGAGCAAGTGGAATGCTAAACGGAAGCATGTGAGCAAGTGGAATGCTCTACGGAAGCATGTGAGCAAGTGGAATGCTCTAAGGAAGCATGTGAGCAAGTGGAATGCTCTAGGGAAGCATGTGAGCAAGTGGAATACTCTAGGGAAGCATGTGAGCAAGTGGAATACTCTAGGGAAGCATGTGAGCAAGTGGAATGCTCTAGGGGGAAGAATGTGAGCTAGTAGAATGCTCTAGGGAAGAATGAAAGCAAGTGGAATGCTCTAGGGAAGTATGTGAGCAAGTGGAATGCTCTGAGATGGATAAGCGAGTGGAATGCTCTAGGGAAGGATAAGCAAGTGAAATGCTCGAGGGAAGGATAAGCAGGTGGAATGCTCTAGGGAAGGATAAGCAAGTGGAATGCTCTACAGAAGGATGAGCAAGTGGAATGCTCTACAGAAGGATGAGCAAGTGGAATGCTCTACAGAAGGATGAGCAAGTGGAATGCTCTACAGAAGGATACAGTAGAGGCTAACTCCAAACATAACTCATGCAAACAAAGGAAGGTGAGTACAAACACAGGTTAGACAAATACCAACACAAGTAGGTGAGCACACACACAGCTAGGCAAATATAAACACAGATAGGTGAGAACACATACACAATACTTAGTATTTCTTTCCTTTACTCTGACACAATACAGCTCTTACTAAAGCTGCTGCACTTTATATTAAAAAAAAAAAAGCTTTAGTAAAGTTCATCTAGGAGAGAATAAATTTTTGCCAACTGTTTTTACAGCTCAAGTTTATACAGTATGTGCCAGTTACCTCCATTAATATATATTTTCACAAGTGGTTAGATAAGACCCAAATGCAAACAACATGCAAGTTTACACTTAATACCAAGCCCTGCTGTCATTAATTTATGAATCTATTATTAGCTAAATGTCCTTAGTGCTCTCTTGTCATAATATGGGAATAACAAATTAAAAAAACCACTCATACTACATAAGCTCTCTTAACACAAGAACTTACCTAAGAGTTGGAAGCACACAGTGTCGGACATGACAACAGTGACAGCCAGGCCACACCAAGCAATAATGAAACAAAGCACGTAGAGCCAAAACTGGTGATGAGAGAGCAGTTCATCAATGCTGGTGGGAGGGACAGTGAGGGGAGCCCCCAGGTAACTCATGAGGCTGTTGTCTTTACATAACAATGTACAGTTGATGGTAGTTTGGGCAGGACAGGTGGGATCACTCACCTAAGGGAGTAATTACACTGGAGATCAGCAATACCCTTAATTAAAAAGAATATTACATACTTATTTTTATTACATGAACCGTGCGTGCGAACACATGCCCACAGATGATCTTATGTGTGCACACATCGACACACAAAAAATACACAGTTTTAAGAATAGGTAAGATTGGGCCCATGTGGCTAGGAGAGAGTAAATATGGCAAATAGTGCCTAGAGCTCAGACTTGACCAGTGCAACCACATGTAAGTGAGTACACATGCACGAGCAAACATGCACACACGCGTGCAAATACACAAATGAAGACTGAAGATTAATAAACAGTGAGAAAGATAGAATCAACATAAAGAAAAAAAAAACAAGAGGTCAAAATACTAAATGCAGAAAATGATTTAGAGCAGTATTATCTACAGAGTAACAGGTCTGAGCCCACCAATCACAGACTTTTCAAGACAATAAAGAGAAAGAGAAATAAATCATACAAAACCAGCCGAGAAAATCACAGAGATGAATAAATAGATATATAGTATATGAGCAATGATGAGTTATACTTAAAAATACTATAGTAAAGAGATATTAAAACAAAAAAAATTAGATACTGTAGGTCTATCTTTGACTAAGTTTACCTGGAGAGAGTTCCGGGGGGTCAACGGCCCTGCGGCCCGGTCTGTGACCAGGCCTCCTGGTGGATCAGAGCCTGATCAACCAGGCTGTTACTGCTGGCTGCACTCATTCCAACGTACGAGCCACAGCCCAGCTGGTCAGGTACCGACTTTAGGTGCTTGTCCAGTGCCAGCTTGAAGACTGCCAGGGGTCTATTGGTAATCCCCCTTATGTATGCTGGGAGGCAGTTAAACAGTCTTGAGCCCCTGACACTTGTTGCTTTGTCTCTTAACGTGCTAGTTGTAGACAGCCTGTACTGTCTGCGCAGACAGCCCCTGCTGTCTGCCAGCTTAGTTCATATTTTCGCGCCACTCAGGTGCTGCCCTCTGTAGCCAGGCCTCTAGGTAGGCACGCCAGCCTGCCGGCCCATGCCTCTCCCTCACTCACACAGCGGCCTGGCATCAACACACAAGGCCTCCCAGCTCTCTCTCGTGGGCATGGCCCTCCCGGGCCATGGGCACAAACACACAAGCCTGTGTAACCCACCACTACTTAACAATAAACAAAGAAGCCTCCGAAGACGTATATCATTTAACCACCCGCTACCAGAATATCAAATAAGCGCCGTTATATAGTGACACCCCTGCTTTTCATTGGGGGAATGTTGCATTGTGGAGTAAGATGTACCATATGAGGAAGTGATTGAAAGAAACTACAGTGGAACCTCCACCAACGAGTTTAATCCATTCCGTGACCTTGCTCGCATCTGGATTTGCTAGTTTGCTGAGTCAACTTTCATCATTTAACCCCTTGACTGTCACAACCCCCAATCCTGAGGTGTCTCCTGGTGTCGCGCAAAAAAAAAAAAAAAAAAAAAAAAAAAAAAAAAAAAAAAATGTTAGGAAATGATAGAGAATCTTTTCCCGATTGTAATGACACCAAAAGAACGAAATTTGATGAAAAACTGACGGAATTACGCTCTCACAAAGTTAGCGACCTCGGCGATATTTACAAATTGGCGATTTCGCCCACTTTGAGCCCTATTTTCGGCTAATTCCATTGTTCCAGTCGACCAAATTCATAGCTATTTCTTTAGAACTCCATTTTTTCTATTAACTGAGTACAAGAAACTGCCCATTTACCAATTTTAACTACCCAATAACGTGGTCAGAAATTTGCAATTTGGCCAATTTCACGAAAATTAAAAAATATGACAATTTCAAAATAAGGTCCAGAATGAACAATGCAGACATTCCTGGCTCTAAAATAACATTTTCTTTGTTCATCAGTCACGTCTCCAGGCCCCTCTAGAGACGTGAAAAAATAGAAGATTTACTGTTATGCAGACTACTGCAATACTGTAATAATTGTACAAATAATATCAACCCATTCATGACTGCATATTAGAATGGCTAGTTGGACATTTATTGGACAATGACATCAATTGTTTACTTTTGAACATTGGCACAAAATCAAACATTTCCCCAACTTTGAGCTCCATTTCCAGGTTCTTTTCATAGAAAAACCAACCAAAATCACCTCTATTTCTATAATATGTTTTCCATTCTGTCAAATGAGACCAAGAAAACGAGAATACAACCATAAATACTATATGAAAATAGACCACAAAGTCAGCATTTTAATTAAAAAAAAAAAAACGATAGGAGTTTTTTTTCTCATTATGCACTGCATAATGATTTTTTTTATATGGTGCACACTGACCACACAGACCCATTCTCTCACATGTGGGCCTACCAGCTTTCTCCTGCTTGATTTGAAGCCGCTAGAATTTATGAGTATATATGTACGTCAAACACGGTGGCTTGTAAGACGTATATATACGACCGAAACAGTCAAAGGGTTAAATTAATTGAAACAGAATTAATTTGTTCCAGTGGAATTCCAAGAACTATAAACTAGAACACAACCACAAAAACGTTATGAAAATACTGCTAAGGGGCGGCAAATTGATGAGAAGTGAACTCCATTATTTATACTCCAATTTCTTTCATTTTTGGTGTACGGTCAAGAAGCATCTTTCCATCATACACTGCCCAAGCTTCAATAAGATAGCCCAACAAACAAATGAGATCCAATTCCCGAGATCAAGAGCAAGAGCCCCTCACCAGCATCAAGGAACCTCCTTCGAGGCCTGCTTGCTTATGGAAATTTCGCTCGCACATGGAAGCAAAAAATCGACCGATCGACTGCTCGTATTTGGAAACACTCGCACATGGATGCGCTCGCAAGTGGAGGTTTCACTGTACTCTGTGAATGAAAAAAGGGGAATAAAATAGTTAAGTGGGGCAGATGTTTGTGGCTATAGGAGGGTGGGTGCAGGAGGAAAGAGGAGTGATTGGTGGAACGATGAGGTAAGAGTAAAAGGTCGCTTATGAGAAGATATTACGAAGAAGTGATATAAGAAGGGCAAAGTATATGGAAAGTAAAAGAAAGGTGAAGAGAGTAGTGAGAGAAAACAAAAGGAGAGCAAATGATAGAGTGGGTGAGGCACTGTCAACTAATTTTGCTGAGAATAAGAACAAATTTTGGAGATAAACAGGTTAAGAAAGCCTAGGGAATGAATGGATTTGTCATTTAAAAATAGAGTAGGGGAGTTAGTAGATGGGGAGCTGGAGGTATTGGGTAGATGGCGGAAATATTTTGAAGAACTCTTAAATGTCAAAGAAAGGGAGGTAGTAATTTAGATAAAGAAAAACTGGATATCACACTGGAGAAAGGGAATATGGAAGAAGTGAATATGTTCAGATGTTTGGGAGTTGACTTGTCAGCAGACTGGTTTATGAAGAATGAGGTTAACCATAGAACTGATGAAGAAAAAAAAGGTGAATGGCGCACTGAGGAATCATCTTCTTTCAACGAACTGGCTGTATCCCATCGAAGCAGGGTGGCCCAAAATGAAAAACAAAAAAGCTTCTCTTTTTAACTTTAGTAATGTATACAGGAGAAGGGTTTACTAGCCCCATGCTCCCGGAATTTTAGTCGCCTCTTACGACACGCATGGCCTACAGAGGAAGAATTGTGTTCCACTTTCCCATAGACAAAAGAGGAAATAAACAAGAACAAGAATTACGAAGAAAATAGAAGAAAACCCAGAGAGGTGTTTATGTATATGCTTGTACTTGCATGTGTGTGACCTAAGTGTAAGCAGAAGTAGCAAGACGTACCTGAAATCTTGCATGTTTATGAGACAAAAAAAGATACCAGGAATCCTACCATCATGTAAAACAATTACAGGCTTTCGTTTTACACTCATTTGGCATTGAGATATCTGTGGAGACAAAAATATCCATAGCGGCGAAGAAGGGGATGCACGAGAGTATAGTGGTACCAACACTCTGACATGTGTGAAGCCTGGGTTGTAAATGCTGCAGCAAGGAGGAGGCTGGAGGCAGTGGAGATGTCGTGTCTAAGGGCAATGTGTGGTGTAAATATTATGCAGAGAATTCAAAGTTAAAAACAGAGTAGGGGAGTTAGTAGATGGGGAGAGGGAGGTATTAGGTAGATGGCGAGAATATTTTGAGGAACTTTTAAATGTTGTGGAAGAAAGGGAGGCAGTAATTTCATGCACTGGCCAGGGAGGTATACCATCTTTTAGGAGTGAAGAAGAGTAGAATGTAAGTGTGGGGGAGGTACATGAGGCATTACGGAGAATGAAAGGGGGTAAAGCAGCTGGAACTGATGGGATCATGACAGAAATGTTAAAAGCAGGGGGGGATATAGTGTTGGAGTGGTTGGTACTTTTGTTTAATAAATGTATGAAAGAGGGGAAGGTACCTAGGGATTGGCGGAGAGCATGTATAGTCCCTTTATATAAAGGGAAGGGGGACAAAAGAGATTGTAAAAATTATAGAGGAATAAGTTTATTGAGTATACCAGGAAAAAGTGTACGGTAGAGTTATTATTGAAAGAATTAGAGGTAAGACAGAATGTAGGATTGCGGATGAGCAAGGAGGTTTCAGAGTGGGTAGGGGATGTGTAGATCAAGTGTTTACATTGAAGCAAATATGTGAACAGTATTTAGATAAAAGTAGGAAAGTTTTTATTGCATTTATGGATTTAGAAAAGGCATATGATAGAGTGGATAGGGGAGCAATGTGGAAGATGTTGCAAGTACAGTATATGGAATAGGTGGTAAGTTACTAAATGCTGTAAAGAGTTTTTATGAGGATAGTGAGGCTCAGGTTAGGGTGTGTAGAAGAGAGGGAGACTACTTCCCAGTAAAAGTAGGTCTTAGACAGGGATGTGTAATGTCACCATGGTTGTTTAATAAATTTATAGATGGGGTCGTAAAAGAAGTAAATGCTAGGGTGTTCGGGAGAAGAGTGGAATTAAATTATGGGGAATCAAATACAAAATGGGAATTGACACAGTTACTTTTTGCTGATACTGTGCTTATGGGAGATTCTAAAGAAAAATTGCAAAGGTTAGTGGATGAGTTTGGGAGTGTGTGTAAAGTTAAAAAGTTGAAAGTGAACATAGAAAAGAGTAAGGTGATGAGGGCATTAGATGATTTAGATAAAGAAAAATTGGATATCAAATTGGGGAGGAGGAGTATGGAAGAAGTGAATGTTTTCAGATACTTAGGAGTTGACGTGTCGGCGGATGGATTTATGAAGGATGAGGTTAATCATAGAATTGATGAAGGAAAAAAGGTGAGTGGTGCGTTGAGGTATATGTGGAGTCAAAAAATGTTATCTATGGAGGCAAAGAAGGGAATGTATGAAAGTATAGTAGTACCAACACTCTTATATGGGTGTGAAGCTTGGGTTGTGAATGCAGCAGCGAGGAGGCGGTTGGAGGCAGTGGAGATGTCCTGTCTAAGGGCAATGTGTGGTGTAAATATTATGCAGAAAATTCGGAGTGTGGAAATTAGGAAAAGGTGTGGAGTTAATAAAAGTATTAGTCAGAGGGCTGAAGAGGGGTTGTTGAGGTGGTTTGGTCATTTAGAGAGAATGGATCAAAGTAGAATGACATGGAGAGCATTTAAATCTGTAGGAGAAGGAAGGCGGGGTTGGGGTCGTCCTCGAAAAGGTTGGAAGGAAGGGGTAAGGGAGGTTTTGTGGTTGAGGGGCTTGGACTTCCAGCAGGCGTGCATGAGCGTGTTCGATAGGAGTGAATGGAGACGAATGGTATTTGGGACCTGACGATCTGTTGGAGTGTGAGCAGGGTAATATTTAGTGAAGGGATTCTGGGAAACCGGTTATTTTTATATAGCCGGACTTGAGTCCTGGAAATGAGAAGTACAATGCCTGCACTCTAAAAAGGGGTTTTGGGATATTAGCAGTTTGGAGGGATATGTTGTGTATCTTTATACGCATATGCCTCTAAACTGTTGTGTTCTGAGCACCTCTGCAAAAACAGTGATTATGTGTGAGTGAGGTGAAAGTGTTGAATGATGATGAAAGTATTTTCTTTTTGAGGATTTTCTTTCTTTTTGGGACACCCTGCCTCGGTGGGAGACGGCCGACTTGTTGGAAAAAAAAAAAAAATAAATAAAAATTCATAGTGGAAATTAGGAGGAGGTGTGGAGTTACTAAAAGTATTAGTCAGAGGGCTAAAGAGGTGATGTTGAGGTGGTTTGGTCATTCAGAGAGAATGAAGCAAAGTAGACTAACTTAGAGAGCGTATAAATCTATTGGGGAAGGAAGGTTGGGTAAAGAAAGTTTTGTGGGCGAGGGGCTGGGACTTCCAGCAAATGTGCATGAGCGTGTTAGATAGGAGTGAAAGGAAAGAAATGGTTTTTGGGACCTGATGAGCTGTTGTAATGTGAGCAGGGTAATATTTTGTTTTTTTTTCTTTTGGGCCACTCCGCCTCAGTGGGATATGGCCGATGTGTTGAAAGAAAGGTTCATATCTGTCAGATAATACCCCAGATTTCATATATGAATTATTTAATAAGTATATAGGCAGTTGGTTTCTAGAATGCCAAATGAGTGTGAAACAGAAACCTATAATTGTTTTACACAATGGCAGGATTGCTGATGTCTTTTTTCTGTCTCATAATCATGCAAGATAACAGGTATAACTTGCTACTGCTACTTACATATAGGTCACAATACACATACATGTATATGTATACACACACTCATTTGTTTTCTTCTTTTTCTTAATAGCTCTTGTTCTTCATTTCCATGGGGAAGTGGAAAAAAATCCTTTCTCCATAAGCCCTGAGTGTTGTAAGAGGCGACTAAAATGCCAGGAGCAAGGGGCTAGTAATCCCTTCTCCTGTATAAATTACTACATGTAAAAAGAGAAACTTTTGTTTTTCTTTTTGGGCCACCCTGCCTTGGTGGGATACGGCCAGTTTGTTAAAAAAAAAAAAAAAAAAAAAAAAAAAAAAAAAAAAAAAAAAAAAAAAAAAAAAAAAAAAAAAAAAAAAAAGGTAGTAGGTTGGTAAAGTGAGTGTAAAATGAAAGCCTGTAATTGTTTTACATGATGGTAGGATTGCTGGTGTCCTTTTTTCTGTCTCATAAACATGCAAGATTTCAGGTACGTCTTGCTACTTCTACTTACACTTAGGTCACACTACACATACGTGTACAAGCATATATATACACACCCCTCTGGATTTTCTGCTATTTTCTTTCTAGTTCTTGTTTATTTCCTCTTATTTCCATGGGGAAGTGGAACAGAATTCTTCCTCCGTAAGCCATGCGTGTTGTAAGAGGCGACTAAAATGCCGAGGGCAAGGGGCTAGTGATCCCTTCTCTTGTATAAATTACTAAATAAAAAAAAAAAACTTTTGTTGTTCTTTTTAGGTCACCCTGCTCCAGTGGGAGACAGCCGGTGCATTAAAAACAACAAATGATTGTTACCTATAGTATGATGTGCATGCCAAAGAAATATTTTTTCTGTAACCTCAAAATAACCTAAATCATAACTGTTGATCTATAAGCCAAGGGAGCTGATGTTTTAGCTTTAAAGTAAGTGTGAATTGTTGTAATTTCCCCCCTTGCACTGATTTTCTTTAGTGAGTATACAAAGTTCATGCCAACTTTTCTTTTTGCTAGATCTTCTAAATACTAGAGTATATTTTTAATGTTTGGTTTTAAAAGTTAGAATGCATGCATTACAGCCCAAGAACAAAGGAATGTAAAATCAAAATTTACCTCTTCTCCGGTCACTGCAATTTCTAAGATAGGGAAGAAAGTGCAGAGATGTTCTAGGCTATAGTCAGACAAGGTGGAGGATGCTGTAAAGTTGAGTTCTCCTTCTTGACATACTGAAGATAAATTCCAGGCATTGCAAATATTTTTTATATCTTCTTCATCCGAATGGCATCTTACCTGAAAAGTTAATGCAAAAATGTAAACTGACTCCAACCTCAACAGTTTTTTTTTTTAACATGCCAGCTATTCTTCACTAAGGAGAAGCGATTCTAAACAGAAAACAGATTTACTGTCATTCATTTAGCAGCTGCCTTGTCAGAAGTGCACAGACATCACAAATCCAATGACCTTCTCACCTGAACCATCCCCACTCTCACTCAGAATGTAGCCACTGTAAATCCCACCTACAGGACTCAAGTTTAACAAAAACAAACAAAATTTCTTTCTTTCTGCAGTATACAAAATGTAGTTTATTTTTTTTTTTAGCAAGTCGGCTGTTTATATGTAAAAAAATACTGTTGGACAGAGCCTCAGAATAATGTGAAACTAATTACATAGTGGAAGTTCGGAGTACTGTACAATACTTGCAGGGTACAAACAGGCATTATGAACATTCTCAGAACTATATGCTCATCATTGAAGTGCTTGGTACAGCAATTACCATGCAGGTATGTTAATTCTTAGGTTTACAGGTGTCTTATAAACTCAAGTATAACCAGATGCCATGTATAGCTTAGCCCATGACTTTTTGCCCCAAAATCTTTAATTTTTCATTCATCTTGCACAAAAATTTACTCTGGTTTTTGAGAGATTTTAAAAGGGGTTACATGGTTCTGATATGGAAAACATTCCAACCTAAAATTACAAAAAAAAAGTGGCATTGAAAAACTTCAAAATAGTGTCTAAAAACTTTCAAAATACTTAACAAAAGCAAATAATCATCCTAAACACATGATAACTAAAACAAAGGTACACTGCAGTAGGCTTACTTCCTCAAGCTAGGCAGGTTCTATTCACACCCAACCGTTACTTAACAACACAACACCACAGCAAGTCTACTGGTCCATGCTAGGCAAGCTCCACTCACATTCCACTATTCCCATCTTACCTATTGTCAAATTCACTATATTTTTGCATTTTTTTTGTTGTGTACGGGTATATAGGCACCATCATTATAATATTATCATTTCCAGAAAAAGATGACTGCCCTACAATCACCACCCATTCTCAATAGCAGTTAGTTCACCAAATTAAAAATTAAATTAAAACTAAAATTATTTCAAAAGAGCTATATAAGTACAGTAGTTATACAAAATGATTACATATTGGGTTTGATCATAATACAGATGAAATTTTAAACTATATAAGGCTCTTGAGAAACCCACTAATTATGCAAATGCATTTTTGGCAAACTAATCATAAGACTTACTAGCTACTAAACTGTAGATGAAGAAAAAATTCAATTCTTTTGTGGTCAGTGCCATGGTACTATGGCTTTGACTTCAGGGTTTGTGCTGCAGAACGTGATAAGCTCGATTCACTCACTTGATAGAATGAAAGATACATTACAGAAAAAGAGATGATTTTGATTGGTTTCAGGACTGGATGTAGCTTGAAATTGAGTTCAAAGTAGCGGAAATGTTAGATTTTTGCCAATATTCCAGAGAACACAAATCACATCACTTGTCAAATACACATCCAACTGGTTGGTCTAATATGTGTTCACGAATGCACCGACATTATTTATACAATTATTACAATAATGCAGTAGTCTGCATAATGGTAAATCTTCTATTTTTTTTTTGTGAATAAAAATTCAAAATGGAAAGCCAGTATAATGGAGGAGAGGCCTGGGGGACATAACTAATGAACAGAAGAAATGTTGTTTTAGTGCCAGGAATGTCTGTATTGTTTATTCTGAACCCTATTTTTAAATTGGCCATTTTTTAATTTTGTGTGAAACTGGCCAAATTACCGATTTCTGATCAATTTATTACCCTACTCACACTCCAACAGCTCGTCAGGTCCCAAATACCATTTGTCTCCATTCACTCCTATCTAATACACTCACACAGGTAGCAGGCTGGTAGACAGCAACCACCCAGGGAAGTACTACCGTCCTGCCAAGTGAGTGTAAAACAAGAGCCTGTAATTGTTTTACACGATGGTAGGATTGCTGGTGTCTTTTGTCCGTCTCATAAATATGCAAGATTACAGGTATGTCTTGCTACTTCTACTTACACTTAGGTCACACTACACATACTTGTACACGTTTATTTATACATACTCATCTGAGTTTTCTTTGATTTTATGTTAATAGTTCTTGTTCTTATTACTTTTCCTTTTATATCCATGGGGAAGTGGAATAAGAATCTTTCCTCCATAAGCCATGTGTGTTGTAAAAGTTAACTAAAATGCAGGGAACAATGGGCTAGTAACCCCTTTTCCTGTACAGATTACTAAAAAGAAGAAAACTGTCAACAAGAACTTCTTCTTTCAGCAAACCGGAAGTATTCCACTGTGGCGGGGTGGCCCAAAAAGAAAAGTGAAAGTTTCTCTTTTCAAATTTAGTAATTTATACGGGAGATGATGTTACTAGCCCCTTGCTCCCGGCATTTTAGTCACCTCTTACAACACGCATGGCTTACGGAGGAAGAATTCTGTTCCACTTCCCCATGGAGGTAAGTGGAAATAAACAAGAACAAGAACTAGAAAGAAAATAGAAGAAAAACCAGAGGGGTGTGTATATATATGCTTGTACATGTATGTGTAGTGTGACCTAAGTGTAAGAGAAGTAGCAAGACGTACCTGAAATAAAGACAGAAAAAAAGACACCAGCAATCCATCATGTAAAACAAATACACAGGCTTCCTTTTTTCACTCACTTGGTAGGATGGTAGTACCTCCCTGAATGGCTGCTGGGCTGTGGGTTTAGCGCTTAGTTATGATTACAATATTAATGATTATTATATTATTATTATGTTATAGTATTATTGCATCTTTACATTTGTTTACATTTCTCGAATGCGAATGGAACACGTACGATCTGTAATTGTTTGTGTGTAAATTTTGATAAATTATAACTTTTTATAATAGATTTGTGCATATTGTATGGTAGTAAATGATAAAATAGGTTAGTATCTACATATATTTTATGCATTTATGACAAACCTAATTTATTCTTATTTTTTTGGTCACAAATCTCAAAACAACTGTCCAATATATTTATTGAAAAAATCTGAGTTAAAGTGGACCTGTGCAGTTCAAACCCTTGTTATTCAGGGGTCAACTGTAGTTGGATTGGAGTGTTGAAATTAACCCTTTGAGGGTTTCGGCCGTACTAGTACTGCTCACGACCCAGGGTTTTTGAGGTAATAGTACGCCTAAATTCTAGCGCCCTCATATCTAGTGGGAGAAAGCTGGTAGGCATACATATGAAAGAATGGGTGTATGTGGTCAGTGTGCACAGTATAACAAAAATCCTGCAGCACACAGTGCATAATGAGAAAAAAAAAAACTCTGACCGTGTTTTTGGAATAAAACAGCGACTTTGCACTGTATTTTCGTATGGTATTTGTTATTGTATTCTAGTTTTCTTGGTCTCATTTTATAGAATGGAAGTCATATTACAGAAATTGAGATGATTTTGACTGGTTTTACAATGAAAAGTACCTTGAAATTGAGCTCAAAGTAGCAGAAATGTTTGATTTTTACCAGAGTTCAAAAGTAAACAAATCATGTCAAGCGTCCAATACACGTCAACTGGTGAGTCTAATATTCTTTCACAAGTGCGCTGATATTATTTATACCATTTCTACACTACTGCAGTAGTCTGCATAACAGTAAATCTTCTATTTTTTGTAAGAATAAAAATTCAAAGTGGAAAGCCTAAGAAATATAAGAGGGGCCTGGGAATGTGACTAACGAACGGTGGAAATGTTATTTTAGTGCCAAGAATGTCTTTCTTGTTTATTCTGGACCCTATTTGGAAATTGGCATCTTTTGAAACTTGTGTGAAATTGGCAAAATTGCTAAATTCTGACCACTGTATTGGATAGTTGAAATCAGTAAATGGGTGCTTTCTTGTACTCATTCAATAGAAAAAATGGAGTTCTAGAGAAATAGTTATGATTTTTGTCGACTAGTACAAAGGAATTGGCCGAAAATAGGGCTCAAAGTGGGCAAAATCGCCAATGCGTAAACATCGTCGAGACCGCTAACTTCGCAAGAGCATAATTCCTTAAGTTTTCCATCAAATTTCATACTTTTGGTGTCATTATGACCAGGAAAAGATTCTCTATCTTTTCATAAGAATTTTTTTTTTTTTTAAATTTGGCTGACCCTGAGAATAAGTCTTGGAGAGGGCCTGTCGACCCTGAAAGGGTTAAAGCATAAGAATTAACAGACAGACAATGGTTATAACATTTGTGTGTGATTTAAATGAGATTTAACACTTTCTTTTTAACAATATTAGTAAAGATGTTGGCAGATGGGGAACTTTTGGCATTTTCAGGCAGCGAGTTTTAAATTTCTAAGCCTTTTACCTGCATAAAGTTTTTGAATGTCAAAGAGATACATGTTCCCTGTATTGTGTCCGTGTGTTCCGCTGTAGCTTTACAGATAAAATTTAAGCACTGGGTCAACATTAGTACTGAGTACCGGAGACAGCGTGCAGGTTAAATAAATTTAAACTTTTGAATAAGAGGTTGTGTGTTGTCTGGAGCCTGAATGATTAATATTTCAGAGAACTGATGTTGATTTTCATGCACAGATACAAAAGGATACATTAAATAGTAGTACAAGGTGAGCAGTGCAGTTTGGGGACTGTAATAGAGTATTTCTGAGAGAATGCCTACTGTTCTGGAAATTTTATTATCAATATTATAAAAGTACATGTATATGTTGAATTTTAATTTGCTGTCCAGATGTATTCACATGAATTTACCCTCATCCTGCTTATCAACTCCTGTATTGTGGAAACAGCAGTCTTAAGAAATTTATGTAAAAAAAGTGTCTACTGAGAGTGGATTTTTTTTTTTTTTTAACAAGTTGGCCGTCTCCCACCGAGGCAGGGTGACCCAAAAAGAAAATACTTTCATCATCATTCAACTCTTTCACCTCACTCACACATAATCACTGTTTTTGCAGAGGTGCTCAGAACACAACAGCTTAGAAGCATATATGTATAAAGATACACAACATATCCCTCCAAACTGTCAATATCCCGAACCCCTCCTTTAGAGTGCAGGCATTGTACTTCCCATTTCCAGGACTCAAGTCCGGCTATATAAAAATAACCGGTTTCCCTGAATCCCTTCACTAAATATTACCCTGCTCATACTCCAACAGATCGTCAGGTCCCAAATACCATTCGTCTCCATTCACTCCTACTGAACACGCTCATGCACGCCTGCTGGAAGTCCAAGCCCCTCGCCCACAAAACCTCCCTTACCCCTTCCTTCCAACCTTTTTGAGGACGACCCCTACCCCGCCTTCCTTCCCCTACAGATTTAAATGCTCTCCATGTCATTCTACTTTGATCCATTCTCTCTGAATGACCAAACCACCTCAACAACCCCTCTTCAGCCCTCTGACTAATACTTTTATTAACTCCACACCTTCTCCTAATTTCCACACTCTGAATTTTCTGCATAATATTTACACCACACATTGCCCTTAGACAGGACATCTCCACTGCCTCCAACCGCCTCCTCGCTGCTGCATTCACAACCCAAGCTTCACACCCATATAAGAGTGTTGGTACTTCTATACTTTCATACATTCCCTTCTTTGCCTCCATAGAACAAGAACTATTAAGATAAAATCAAAGAGAACTCAGATGAGTGTTTATAAACGTGTACATGTATGTGTAGTGTGACCTAAGTGTAAGTAGAAGTAGCAAGTCGTACCTGTAATTTTGCATATTTATGAGACAGACAAAAGACACCAGCAATCCTACCATCATATAAAACAATTACAGGCTTTTGTTTTACACTCACTTGGCAGGATGGTAGTACCACCCTGGGTGGCTGTTGTCTATTGTGGCCCACAACAATAAAGTTGTGGTCAACAGTACCAAAGGCCTTTCACAAATCATTGAGTACTGTGTAAATTATATCCAGCATTTATACTGTGGCAATATTGGTTCTTATTTTTTTGACAGAAAGAAATGGCTAGCAGTTCTTCCAAAATACAAAATAGGCTAACAGAGTTTGGTTTCACATTCGTATGTGTCCACCAACTTAACTACTAATAACAAACTGTGAATATGAATGACAAAACTGTAGAAGACTTATTTACCTCACAGGTCGATGTATAATTGCCTGAGATTCTATCAAGAAAATCATTCTGGCCACATTTATCTTTAGAAAAGCAGTACTTGAAGAAGGTGGCAGATTGCGTGCAGTCAAGTTTGACATGAGCCAACTCCTGGTTTGAGTTCTGAGGTACAGCAGGGACAAAGTAGATACTGCAACAAACAATAATTACCTATGTTTTAAAAGTAGTATCTTTCTTTGTGAATAAAATAATAAGAGAAGTAAATGTAATTATATAATATATGACAAGGAATCTACAAGGAAAGAACCATTAAGCTGAGGTGAAAATAAGCTTAATAATGGCAAGGTAGCTACAAGGAAAAATGAAAAGGTTAAATGAAACATCTAGCTGAACAGTGACAAGGCAGCTACAAGTAAAGACACATCAAGCTGAAGTGAAATATCAAACTCATTAATGACAAGATAGCCACAAAGGAAGAAACATCAGGCTGAAGTGCAAGATCTAACTCAATTATTAAATGCAATGCTAGCAGTAATTTAAAGTCAGAGTAATAAATAAACAAGGTAAGAGAAAATAGGAATGACAATGAATATGGAGAAAAAGTGAGAGCACAGATAGAGCAAATATTTTTTCAACCCACCTGAAAAAACCAATCAAACACACAACAATTGAAGACAGAAACATGCCACGATGAATTCGTAGCCAATCAGAAAGTGCCCCAGATGCTGTCTTGACAATAAGTCCAACAAAAGGCAGGATAGTGTATATTAGCCCAATGCCAGCTGGGGAGATGCCCTGCTGTCGCCCATACACTGGCAAGAAGGGAAGGACAGGAGCTGTACCTGGAGTGGTAAATTAAGATACACTTAGTCACAAAGTAAGAATGGTATAAGTAATTTATGGACAAATGTGATGCAAATATTAAAAACTTTCAAAACAAGAAGAAACATTAAAAAAAAAAAAAAAAAAAAAAAAAAAAAAAAAAAAAAAAAAAAATCTTGGATGCACAACTTCAAGGAAGATTACATGAAATTTTTAGTGATGAATGCATAATTTAAGTCATCAAAAATTTTAGCAAAAAATGTACAGTACCAAATATACAATGCCACCATCTGAATGAATTTACAAAGAAATTACAGGGTGTATTGCAATGCACATATAAGTGTGTAAGTCATGTTAGTGGGATAAAGCAATCAACAGTCATCATTGTGATGAATAGTAAGTCTAAAATATTTGCAATCTCATAATTTTAAACTATTAAAATTACTCCTACCCCCCTAAAAAAATGGATGTTCTATTTAATAACTTGTTCACAAAAATTTAGGGCAGTCACAAATTCTGGAAGCATGTCCCGAATTTTGGGGAGAAAATATTAGGAAACTCCAGAAGCTTATGACTTTAGTACAAGAAAGTCATTCTAATGTAAGACAATACTGACCTTCATTATACTGTAATCTATTTGACGACTGATATGTTTGGAAAACACATATCTGAAAGCACAAATCTTTGGTCACCATATTATCAGTACAAAAAGTGAACATGTTTCTGGCCAGCAACAATTTTCTTTGTGTTATATCACCTAAAACTGACAGTGACAAATGCCAGTTTTTAACATTAAGAATTGAAAATGCAAATTCAATAATACTTTAGGAAAGGCTTTTCCTAGTTTTACAGTATAAGCAAAGGTGGCAAAGTACTCTGTAGTGTTTAATTATGTTATTGTAATTACAGTAGAAAAACAACCTAAATCTTCATCTTCAATACCAAAATACTGCTCATTGCTGAAAAAATCCTCATTATTCCCATCAATACTCTCCTAGGCAAGTAAAAATTAGATAATATCAATGTCCCAAGTGTCAAACAGCAAGTATCAAATGGCAGGGGTCAACTAAACACACCCGTTCAAATCTTGTGTAACTGTAATTCACTCTTAAAAAAAAAATCAAGGCAGCCATACTACTGCAATCACACATGTATTCATGACTAATTCATAAATTGGTGATACATCTTTAGATAGCTTATCAGTCCATTCAGGACAAACTGAAGGGCTGTCTAAAGAATTACAGTACAGCACCTCCAATTCATGGGTTGCTTGTAAATGACTCCTGATAAGTTATAACTGATATTCATCCCCCCCAAATGCATGCACAACTCACACACACACGTTAAGACCAACCACAGATCCTGTAGTCATATTTGCCAACTGTAGCATGGTAACTAGAACTATCTAATGGTGGTACACAACCCTGGCTCATCTGGTGACTTAAGTGTGTTGTGGTATGCTGACGTGTTAGGGGGTAGATGAGGGGATGGTTCGATAACTTGAACCGTGACAGTTACTCCATCCAACTAAATTCTCTCAGGCTGTTAACTGGCATATATCCCACTCTGACCTGTAGTTGTGTGTGATATTTTGTGGTCACCGTTTATTATTAAATTGGTTTATGGTGAGATCCTTATACATTTATATTGTACATGAACCTTCTTGGAATATAGTCTACATGTATTTACATCAACTACTCACCTTTCTTTGCTCTAGTAGTGTCCATCTTGCAATTTTGCATTCACTATATGCTTCATTCACATGTCAATGCCATCTAGATTCCCCTATTGGATACCCTGATGGATACTTTTATAGCTGGTTGTTCATTTTCTCAGATCAATGGGATTACTGTACCCATTATCAGAACTTGTTGTAGACCACTACTCTTCCAATGGTCACCAAATGGCCTGATCTGGCTGCTACTTTTCAGACTGGGTTGACTTGTCCATGAGACTGGCACCCCTCAGAGTACTTGGTGTGGGATTTATCCTCACCTTTATTTTTTTTGCAACAGGCTGCCTTCCCTTATGTTGTAGATTGGATATGACCCATTGATGGTCCCAACATTTTTTTTAATAAGGGGAAAGCACTAAATCTGTAGGAGTCATATAATGCCTGGTCCAGAGAGAACAGGCCCTGATTTGTTGTTTCTTGGGGATAACACTAACTTTTTGCTTTCAGACTGGGGCCATAACGGATTGGTTGGATCTACTGGCCCTTGGAATTCTACGAAATAGTTCAGCTGCTAAACAAGTTTGATTAGCCAGTGGGTCATCTGATGCCATGCTGGCTGCCTACAGACTTCCTTGCGTGCCCTGACCACAAGTGTCTTTGTATTTTCTGCATAGTTTCTACCCCTCATGAGATCAGATCCTATTTCTTCATCTCATTTGTAATAACACTTAACATCACTGTGCTAAATATAACAATGCACAATGTACTCACTGGTTATCCAGTACTTTCCCACATCTGATCTGTCTGTGCTACATTAATTTTCTTGAAAGGTGCACGAGAGGGAGTTACTGCAGTGCTTCCCAACACTAGATGACTATGCAATTTTTTGTATCCTTGATTCTCACTATATTCTTATCATTTGCACTTGCTCTGGAACTTTTATCATATTTTGAGTTCTCTACAACTACTCGTATTTTGATCATATATCAGGGAGATACTAGATGAAAACCAGCCATTTCCTGGTGTTTGTAGATAATACACTGTCTTTGTAAGCTCAGCCTCTCTAACTCTAGTATCCTTACTAGCAACTTTTACTATATTTTTTTTCATCTCTATAGCTGTTTTTGGCAAAAAAGTCAGCTAAAAGCCCAATCATAACACCATCCTAACTGCACAACAATACAAATGGTTAATTTTACTAAAAAATCTAATTTAAGAATCATTGCAGGTGTTCAAAGATACTTGCGTATATTTTTTTAGTATCGTAGATGCTTCGGAACACATCCTTCATGCATAATGAGGTTTTACTACATCTTTAATGCACACAATATACAAATAGATGCTGTACAAACATATACCAACTCCAAAACACACCTGCAAAAATCAAGAAGTAATGTGCCTTAATAGGCAGGATTTTCATGTTGATCTTCATCTTGGTAAAATATTGCCACCATGCCATGCTATGTATCAAGGCACTTTCTGCAAAGTAATGTTTAAGTATAATACACACTGAGGTTGTTTTACCTAATGTATGAAAATTTATAAAATGTAAGAAAACAATGATAAAAATGTTCTGTTAATTTTCAATACCTAATGTGTTAGTAACTATTAAAAAATGCATCCCATGCAGCTTTTGGTGATATACTGTACACAGTACATAAGAGTTGTCAATTTACTCAACAAATCATAATTTCAATAGTAAACAACTGGAAACCTTGAAAAAAAGATGTTACATAATTGAAAAAAAATGTGTATAGTACATGACAATTGTTTACATACAAATCTGATTTAATTTCATTATATACCGGGTGTGAAGCTTGGGTTGTAAATGGTGCAGCGAGGAGGCGGTTGGAGGCAGTGGAGATGTCCTGTCTAAGGGCAATGTGTGGTGTAAATATTATGCAGAAAATTCGGAGTGTGGAAATTAGGAGAAGGTGTGGAGTTAATAAAAGTATTAGTCAGAGGGCTGAAGAGGGTTTGTTGAGGTGGTTTGGTCATTTAGAGAGAATGGATCAAAGTAGAATGACATGGAGAGCATATAAATCTGTAGGGGAAGGAAGGCGGGGTAGGGGTTGTCCTCGAAAAGGTTGGAGGGAGGGGGTAAAGGAGGTGTTGTGGGCGAGGGATTTGGACTTCCAGGAGTGAATAGAGACGAATGGTATTTGGGACCTGACGAGCTGTTGGAGTGTGAGCAGGGTAATATTTAGTGAAGGGATTCAGGGAAACCGGTTATTTTATATAACCGGACTTGAGTACTGGAAATGGGAAGTACAATCCCTGCACTCTAAAGGAGGGGTTTGGGATATTGGCAGTTTGGAGGGATATATCGTGTATTTTTATACATATACAGTGGACCCCCGCTTAACGATCACCTCCCAATGCGACCAATTATGTAAGTGTATTTATGTAAGTGCATTTGTACGTGTATGTTTGGGGGTCTGAAATGGACTAATCTACTTCACAATATTCCTTATGGGAACAAATTCGGTCAGTACTGGCACCTGAACATACTTCTGGAATGAAAAAATATCATTAAACGGGGGTCCACTGTACAGTGGTCCCTCGTTTTTCGTAGTTAATTCGTTCCTGGAGTTGCTACTATTATCGAAATCTACGATTTTCGAATCAATTTTCCCCATAAGAAATAATGTAAATACAATTAATCTGTTCCTGACACCCAGAAGTATTAAAACAAAAATTTTTTTTACATGAAATATAGATGTAGTACATAAACAATACAATGGGAAATGATGAATAAAACATTAACAGCATAACACTTACCTTTATTGGAGATTCTTCTTAGTGTATGGAAGACTGGAGGAGGAGTGAGATTGGATTGTTTACAGTTTGGAAGGGGAATCCCCTTCCAGCAACACCTCAGGTACCAATTGCTTTTCTGGGGTTGCTTCTCTTCTCTGTTTCTTAATGCCACTAGGACCACCTTGAGAGTCACTGGAGTCCTGTCTCGCAAAATAACTGTGGAGAGAGCTCTGTTTCTGGCATCTCTTTAACACTTCCCTAAAATGGCCCCAGACTTTGTCACTGTACACGTTGCCAACATGGCAACACGTACAAATAATCGAAGTCATAAGAGTATCTCCTGCTAATTGTTTCTCGTTTATCCACACTAATAATAACTTCTCAACATCTTCGAGTGCTGGTGATCTCATTTTTTGTCAGCATAGTTACCCCCTTTGCAACAACAGCATCCTTGATTTCCTTTTTCTTGGCTACTATGGAACATATGGTTGTGTAGGGTTTCTTATACATCCTGGCCAGTTTGGCCGCACTTGTACCACTTTCATATTGTTCAATGATGTTTTTCTTAAATTCAATTGTATTTCTCACCTTTACCACAGGCTTGGCACTAGGAGCTTTCTTTGGAGCCATGGTAGCTTATTTAGTACTTGCAAGCACTGAGTGGAATATTATGAAATATTTCGTAGGAGTACGTGAGGGGACCTTCGCTCACTGGTAAACAATGCCAGACTGGCTGGGTAGGGAGGTTGCCCTGGCTCACACCGTGCGTACGCGTCCGGGACGAACTACTATTCGCGAGTCAACCTATGATTAGCTAGCCCATGTTAATACGAAAATATCCCTATGATTTCCGAAATCTATGATTCCCGAGAACTACGAAAAACGAGGGACCACTGCTTACTTCTAAACTGTTGTATTCTGGACACCTCTGCAAAAACAGTGTTTATGTGTGAGTGAGGTGAAAGTGTTGAATGATGATGAAAGTATTTTCTTTTTGGGGATTTTCTTTCTCTTTGGGTCACCCTGCCTCGGTGGAAGACGATCGGCTTGTTGAAAAAAAAAAAAATATATCGGAACTCCAAACATGGCTATGTATTTATTTTAATTAGAGGGAAGTGCTAAACCTGTTGTAGTCATATAGTGTTTGGGGAATGGGACGCAATCAGGTTCAATTCAGGGAAAGAGAAGACAAGTTCAGTTTTTTTTTTTTGGATCAAGAGCCCCTCACCAGTACCTGTCAGCATAGTTGCTGATCCCTGTGTTATATAGCATAGCATATTAGTATCGTCCATGTGCTTTAGATAGGAGATCCCTTGTAGGCCTGTGACTTTGTATGACGTCACGGGATGCGCATGTGTAGGCTCGTACCTCTGCCCCGGTCTCACTCGGCGGCAGACCATTCAGCAGACAGGCAAGGCAGCGGGCTCCATCCCTCATCATCTCAGTCTGACAATATAAGTTACCATCCAACAAGTGTGTCTACCTTCAACCTACGATATCTCCATTTAAGAACCCTTACGATATACCAAGGTATCTCCCTGGAGAAAAAAACAAGAGGGTACATACTGTAATGAAACAAAAGTAATGTTGCTACAAAAATTATTAACCCTTTGAGGGTTTCGGCCGTACTAGTATACATCTTACAACCCAGGTTTTTGACGTATTAATACAGGTCTCCCTCAACATTCACGTTTTCAACATTCACGGGCTTCACACATTCGCGAATTCCCAACCGCCAAATTCCCAGCCACCAAATTCCCAGCCGCCAAATCATATTTAAGTTTCCCGCCACCTGCGAGTCCCTACTTCCCTCCCTCCGACCCCCGCAACTGGCAGCCAGCCCTCCCACCACTCAGTGTGGTGAGTGTTTTGTTTGTTCATTATTTGCTATTAAACTACAGTATAAATAATGTAAACCCATTCATGACTGCATATTGGAAAGGCTATTCGGACAGGTATTAGACGGTGACATCATGTGTTTACTCTTGAACACTGCAAAGAATTAAACATTTCTGCTACAGCTAATAACAACAATAGTAATAACAATAGTAATAATAATAATAATAATAATAATAATAATAATAATAATAATAATAATAATAAATATGATATAATTGAAGAAGGAAATTGTACAAAAATACAAGGGAGTGGTTGACACATCATCAGTGTGACTGTTTATGCTAGAGTGAACATTAGTCTCCCTGCTCTTCCAAACATTTCACAATAATTCATTGTGTTTGATGCTTGTAGATTGAGTGTGACTGGAGTGGTAGAGGCAGTGATTGAGGCAATGGTATTTAATAACATACATGTTAATAATAATACATGTTATTAATAATATGTACTATTATTATTTATAACATATATGTTATAGGTAGTAGGTTGGTAGACAGCAACCACCCAGGGAAGTACTACCGTCCTGCCAGATGACTGTGAAACAAAAACCTGTAACTGTTTTGCATGATGGTAGGATTGCTGGTTTTCTTTTTCTGTCTCATAAACACGCTAAGATAACAGGGATATCTTGCTACTCCTACTTACACTTTGGTCACACTTCACAGACACGCACATGCATATATATATATACATACATCTAGGTTTTTCTCCTTTTTCTAAATAGCTCTTGTTCTTTTTTATTTCTTCTATTGTCCATGGGGAAGTGGAAAAGAATCTTTCCTCCGTAAGCCATGCGTGTCGTATGAGGCGACTAAAATGCCGGGAGCAATGGGCTAGTAACCCCTTCTCCTGTATACAATTACTAAAAAAGAGAAGAAGAAAAACTTTATAAAACTGGGTTGCTTAAATGTGCGTGGATGTAGTGCGGATGACAAGAAACAGATGATTGCTGATGTTATGAATGAAAAGAAGTTGGATGTCCTGGCCCTAAGCGAAACAAAGCTGAAGGGGGTAGGAGAGTCTCAGTGGGGGGAAATAAATGGGATTAAATCTGGAGTATCTGAGAGAGTTAGAGCAAAGGAAGGGGTAGCAGTAATGTTAAATGATCAGTTATGGAAGGAGAAAAGAGAATATGAATGTGTAAATTCAAGAATTATGTGGATTAAAGTAAAGGTTGGATGCGAGAAGTGGGTCATAATAAGCGTGTATGCACCTGGAGAAGAGAGGAATGCAGAGGAGAGAGAGAGATTTTGGGAGATGTTAAGTGAATGTATAGGAGCCTTTGAACCAAGTGAGAGAGTAATTGTGGTAGGGGACTTGAATGCTAAAGTAGGAGAAACTTTTAGAGAGGGTGTGGTAGGTAAGTTTGGGGTGCCAGGTGTAAATGATAATGGGAGCCCTTTGATTGAACTTTGTATAGAAAGGGGTTTAGTTATAGGTAATACATATTTTAAGAAAAAGAGGATAAATAAGTATACACGATATGATGTAGGGCGAAATGACAGTAGTTTGTTGGATTATGTATTGGTAGATAAAAGACTGTTGAGTAGACTTCAGGATGTACATGTTTATAGAGGGGCCACAGATATATCAGATCACTTTCTAGTTGTAGCTACACTGAGAGTAAAAGGTAGATGGGATACAAGGAGAATAGAAGCATCAGGGAAGAGAGAGGTGAAGGTTTATAAACTAAAAGAGGAGGCAGTTAGGGTAAGATATAAACAGCTATTGGAGGATAGATGGGCTAATGAGAGCATAGGCAATGGGGTCGAAGAGGTATGGGGTAGGTTTAAAAATGTAGTGTTAGAGTGTTCAGCAGAAGT